TTTGCTGCTTTTGCAAATCACTTGAAGTCTGTGACCTTTATAATAGCAAGCAGTTTCTCACTATCTATCAAGCATTTAATGTGCTGTCACTCTAAGAGGTTATTTTGTCCTGGTTTTGAAGAGGTTGTAAGGCAGAGGTGAAAAATGGCTACTGATGATCACGTGAGTAAACAACCTGGGAGGCTTTTGTTTTTTTTACTATCCTGAATGGGTGTGGACAGCTCTCTCCGATCCAGATATCTTGGTTTAAGTTTTTTTTAAGTAACAGCAGAAGCTATTGGGGTCTCAAGTTGGAAGCTTCAGTTAATATCTCCTGGCTGCTACGCTCTCTGAATTTTCTCGATGAATTTTCCTCCTGGATTGGAGAGCTGCATGTGAGAATCTGTGTCTGAATTTTCTTTTCTTTTAATGGAGTGTGTTTATAGGATGTTACTATATTGGAACAGTTAATTAGTAATAGTTACTGTATCTGTTATTCTGTTAAGTTTTCAATAGAATTAAGTTTTCTAAATTCCTCTTTATTTGTATTTTAACTACAGTATTTAAGTAAATTATGTTTTGCTTAACGTCAAGTAGTTTGATCATCGCATTGCATCTGACACATTTACATTTGCTTTTAAAATAAGAAAACGTTAGAGTCTGGACAAATCTTCTTTAACTGTTTTGAGGGGGTTTGGTCTGGTCCATAACAAGAAGCTCATAATTTTGAAGACCTCTCTGAGATCTCCTTTTAGCCGCCTTCTCTGAGGATAACAGTCCCAGCGTTCTCAATCTAACCTTATAACTGAAACTCCTCATCTCTGGAATTGTTCCTGTACATCATTTCAGCCGTCGCTCTGTGTTCATTTCCTTCCTATAATATGTGGCCCAGAACTGAACACAATATTCCAGCTGAGGTCTAACGAGTATTTTAAAAAATAAGCAGATTATGGGGAAACAGACTCTCGTAAAATAATATCTCATGATAATGAGAGTGTATTTATCAGACAAGGCAATCAAGTAAGTTCAATTCACAATTTTACAAAATCAAACTGAGCATTTGAAAAAAGTAAACAAGATACTTTGTACTTAAAAATCTCATCTTTTGTGATGTTTTCTGAGGAACAGAATGCAATTGCTCTGGGACTGGATGATGATAATGTGAGTGATTGTGACACTTGAAAAGACTTATCACATTTAAAATACCAATTACCCAATATGGTAATTTCTTAGAGATGTTTCTGCAACACCCCTAAAGAGGCAACAAATGCAAAAGAAAAGCTAAGGAAACTAAAGAAGTGCATCAGTACCCCAAATGGTGTTTCCAGCGTATGATATTTTTAAATCAGATTTATTTTGTTGAAAATAGGTTATGTTCACCTAAAAGCAGATCAGTGTTTTGTTGGCATCATGAAGATGCTTGAAAGTTTTCCTTTGTGATTCATTCTAATTTCTAATAGGAAGGCACAGTGGAATTCAAGAAATCTAGTATTAATAAGGTTAGATTGGAATAAAATGGATGTCGTGCTTGTGGTGCTTTTAAATGTTCATTTAGACGTTAAGCAAGGTGGGGCTGGATTAATCTTCAATCAGTGATCCTGTTTAATGAGTGTTACGTCCATTCTAGTTAATCATACGAGGCCCACGAAGGAAGTTAAAATTGTATCTAAAGAGAAGACAGAGCAACTGTGAGGCTTGTTTGGTAAAGTATGAAGAAATGGATGATTGATTTTTCATCCTTGTATGTCCCAAAGAATGTAAAGCTAGTCATTTTTATGACACTTTGCATATTGATCATCTGATCAGAATTCTAATCTAGATGGTTACATTTCCTATGAGTGAAATTGTGAAATATTTCTTTGTAGCTTGGAAAGATAAAGGGGTTGTGAAAAGTACTTCAGCTACGGAATAACAAGCCCATCTGGAAGCCGTGGATGTTGGATTCCATTTGTTAAAATTATGTGAGATTCTATACTCTTGATGTACAGAAGATCATCCATTTAATGTTGAATAGGTAATTGATAATTATACAACATAAAATAATGAATGAGAAAGGGTTATGAATTGATGTTTCTGGCTTGAAACGTGCTGGAGAGGAAGGACATTTCTTAAAATGGGTGGCTACAAATCAATTACCTGTGCATGCATTTCTTTTTACTTCACAACGATTGAGCATCCTGAATGAGGAGCATCTTGCAATATAATACCTCAATGAATATAGAGGTTTTTGATCATATAATGTATTAGCACGGGTAGAAGATTGGTTAACTAACAGAAAGCAGAGAGTGGGGATAAATGGGTGTTTTTCTGGTTGGCAATCAGAGGCTAGTGGTGTGCCTCAGGGATCAGTGTTAGGACCCCAATTGTTTACAATTCACATAGATGATTTAAGAGTTGGGGACCAACTGTAGTGTGTCAAAGTTTGCAGATGACATTAAGATGAGTGGTAGAGCAAAATGTGTTGAGGACACTGAAAGTCTGCAGAAGGATATAGATAGATTAAGTGAGTGGGCGAGGGTCTGGCAAATGGACAATGTTTGTAAATGTGAGATCATCCATTTTGGTAGGACTAACAACAAAATGGACTATTATTTAAATGATGAAAAATTGCAGCATGCTGCTGTGCAGACACACCTGTGTGTCCTTGTGCATGGATCACAAAAAGTTGGTTTGGAGGTGCAGCAGGTAAATAAGAAGGCAAATGGAATATTGTCCTTCATTGCTAGGGGAATGGAGTTTAAAAACTGTTAAGCTGTAGCTGTGTAGAGTGCTGGTGAGGCCACACCTGGAGTACTGTGTACAGTTTTGGCCTCCTTACTTGAGAAAGGGTGTACTGACACTGCCAGGGGTGCAGAGGAGGTCCACAAGGTTGATTCCAGAGTTGAGAGTTTTGGTTTATGAGGAGAGATTGAGTAGACTGGGACTGTACTCATTGGAATTTAGAAGAATGAGGGGCAATCTTATAGAAAGACAGAATCATGAAGGGAGTAGATAAGGTTTCTTATGCTGGGTGAAACTAGAACTGTGAGGCATAGCCTCAAAATAAGGGGCACATATTTATGAATGAATTGAGGAAGAACGTCTTCACCCAAAGGGTAGTGAACCTGTGGAATTCACTGCTCAGTGAAGCAGTTAGGGCAAAGATAGATTTTTGAATAGTAAGGGAATTAAGGGTTATGGTGAGCTGGCAGGTTGGTGGAACTCAGTGCATGAAAAGATCAGCCATGATCTTATTGAATGGCGGAGAAAATGGCCTACTCCTGTTCCTATTTCTTATGTTGTGTTCTGTAGAATAGACAAAGACTAAAAGAAGGTGTACGTATGTAATGTGAAACTGTAGGTAGATACTTAAAACTGTGGAAGATTTGCTCTGATGCTACCTTGACCAACTGGCTTTCCAGAATATAACAGGGGCATTTGTCAAGATCTAGATGTTCTAGAGCTATCCTAATCAGTATTCATCCCTCAAATTGCATAAAAGTAGATAAACCAGTGATTTATCTCAATGTTGTTTGTGGAATCTTGTTGCTTGCAAGCTGTGCCTTTATTGACTAAAACAATAGTGAGGGCATTGTGGAAGTAATTCATTGGCTGTAATGCACTTTAGAACACCCAGACATGCAAAAAGCACTTTACAAATTCAAATTCTTTCCTTCCCACACCTGTGTCTGTGCTCAGTCAAAAATTATATTGTAATCCATCTACTTCAACATTTTTAATCGTTTGAAAATACGAGTTGATTCCAAATAGCCTATTAGTAGTTTGCTGTCAAAGGCCTTTTAATGCATTTCATCTTGCTATTAAAGTACTGCTGGCGAGAATCATGTTTATGTAGTTGGAAAAACAATATTGCAAAATGTTTTTGGCTTTGAATATTAATTGTAGACAGACTATGTGATTATGTCCCAATAAGATGCAGGACAAATCCCACTATTTTCTTGAATCATTTGACGTAACAGTTAATACTTACCAATGAAAGGCCGGAACTTTGGGAAGAGCAATTGCCATTAGCTCACAATTTTTGGAAGTGTCAAACCCTGCACAAGAGATTTGGGTTTAGCACTGTTTCTGTCAGTAGAATGTTATAGGTATGTGAATTTTTAATTTGAACAACACTTGGAGGAAGCACTGAGGATGGAAAGGACACAAAATGTACTCTGGCTGTGGGATTTCAATGCCCACCACCAAGAGTGGCACAGCAGCAGTACTACTAATCATGCTGGTCGGGTACTGAGAGTCATAGCAGCTAGTTAGGGTGAGCAGCAGGTGGTGAGGGAACCAACAAGAGGAAAAAACATTCTTGACCTCATCTTAGTCAGTCTGCCAGCTGCAGATGCATCTGTCCATGGCAATATTGGTAAGTTAAACCACCGAACAGTTTGATTGGAAGTGTTTATGCTAGCTAGCTGGCAGAATGTGAGGTTTCTGTTTATGTGGTTTTGCCAATCAGCATGTCAGTTACCTTTTCAAGTAAGATTCAGTGCCAAATGTGTCTAACCTAAGTGTTAAGGTTCAGTTTGTCACTAACAATCCTAATGTTCTGATGCTGTAGATGAAGAATTAACTTCAATGACTGGTGTGTAGAATATTTTAATGTATTCTGCAGTGAAAAATGTCCATTGTTCCAAATTCTTGAAGATTCTGTATTAGGTAAGAAAAATATAGTAATGATTCATAACAATAAGTATTAATATTTGTGTCACAATGTACTTACAATACTAAAGCAGTTGCTTGAATTTGGCATCTCAAATGGAATGTATTCTGTTAATGCAGGCAACCTCAAATCTCCTTTATTGTCTGTCATTATTAATTGGGAAATCAGTAGATTTGTCTTGATTTGAAAATTAATTTTTTTAGCTGAGTGCTTGAGTTGAACTTCATTAAAAAGGTAACTTCATTAACGATAAGAAGTCCAGTAAATTTATTTTACTTGGGAATTTTTGAAATCGTGAAAAATTGGACATAGTGAAATTGCTGCACACAATATAATTAGGATTGCTCTAAAAATAATTAACAAATATTTGGATGATGTCCTTTATAGCCAGTAATAATAACATGCTTCTGTAATTAAATGAATAACTCAATGCTGCCACATTTCTCATTTGGCAAGAAGTTGAAGTTTTTTTGGCACCTTCCTTTGAACTTTGGACAATAGCTGAGATGGTTCCCAGATACACAGTATGTGTCTTTATTATACCTTCTCTGACAAAACGGAATATTTAGTTACGGCATTTGCCTAAATATGGAACAGTCAGTCTCTTGTTGCTTTGCATTAAAATATATTCCAGTTGATACAGTAAAATGGTACAAGTATAATGGAAATACTTCATCAAAACTTGACAAAAATTTGAGGTGTGATATGGAGAGTGAAATGTTCCTAATTGTGGCTGCCTACTTACGTTTAAGTTTGAACTGTTGAGGTAAACTAAGCAATTGATAGTTGTTCGTCTGCACCCACGCTGCACCCTATTGTATTAGTGCTCAATGACCTTCAGTAAACTTGATTTGACCCTCAGTCAGGTGTATAGCAGATTGATTCAGTTGATCAGAAGGCATTGCACATAAACAACTCTTAAAATGATTTTGCTCCGCACTGCTTCATAATGCATGAAACAGGCTGTCTTCAATTTCAGAGGGAGTTAGGTTATTATTTCATTGAAAAAACCTGTATAAGTTTTGTAAGTAGAACTATTTTTCAAACTTTGAGACCAATGGGCAGTGGAAATACTCCTAAAATGTGATTAACTTTTAAACATCTACATTCATGTGCTTGTGTGAAATGGTTGGTATGTAGTAATCAAAAACATTTTGGTATTCACAAGAAAAAATGTTTGAATTCTTTGTGATTCATTTAAGCTGTAAAGGGGCTTGTGGCCAATAGCTCTGGAACAATTAAAGTTAACCATTCCAGAGTACCCACCTTTTGAATGCAATGATTAAAACACAAGCTCATACCTATTTTTCCAGTGATGTGATCTCAAGCTTTAAGAATTTTGGTAAAGGTGCAGAATGTTCACTAGGTGCACTTCTGTAATGAATATGTTTTGTTCCCCTTTAGTTAGTTAATGATATTACCGGAGGCATTTTGAGCTGCTATTCAGCTACAGACGTGAAAGCAATATATACAATGCTTTAGCTGACCCTCAGGAAGTTCTGATGTGGAGGTGCTGATGTTGGACTGGGGTGGACAAGATCCGAAGTTACACAACACCGGGTTATAGTCCAACAACAGGTTTATTTGAAATTGCAAGCTTTTGGACCGTAGCTCCTTTGTCAGATGGAGTCAAAGGAGCTGCGCTCTGAAAGCTGGTGATTTCAAATAAACCTGTTTGACTGTAGCCTAGAGTCGTGGACCTTCAGGAAGTTCCAAAGTGTTTCACACCCAATAAAGTACTTTTGGGTGATAGTTACTGGTCTAAACTAGAAATATGCATCATGCGTTTTTTGAGAAATTCTTGAACACTGAAGATTGCCTCCTCCCAAATGAAAGTAGCTAATACATATGTATTCAAAGGGGTACCGTTAGAGTTTTCATTTAATGTGAAGTGCAACAATAACTGTTGTTTTTCACTTGCTTGGATTTTAATAAAATCTCTTCCTTTATGGTCAATACTGTTTACTAATATACTGTTGGTCTTGAGCCACAGGTGATGTTTTATGCAAAGTGTGACAATCCTCATTTCAAAAATTTGGCACAGGTTATTTAAATACACATTAGTTATTACCGTTTCATATGAGCAGCATTCGTTTCTTAGAGTAGGTTTATGTTCAAAACGGAAATGTTATTTCACTCTCTATAAACCTTACAGGTTCTGTGACTGTCATATGAAAATTTTAACACTAGAATGTATGTCTTGCCATCAGTTCTTGTTTGAGTCGATCACCTGCCATGCCTGGAATCAGGATTGAACACGTAAGTTATATTTTGAGATGTTTTTCTGAATCAGCATTAATAACCAATTTTTAAGATAAAATAAATATTATAAGTTATGTTTTTGTGTTGAAGGCACTTTTACACTGATGCTTATCAATCATGGACTTTGTACTTGCTAAATCTCATATCCCAGAGGTAAATAAAACTATCAGCTAGGAGCAAAAGTTGGCCGTTAAGCCCATAAATTCTACCTTGCTATTCAATGAGATCATGGCTAGGTTTTTCCAGCAATCAACAATGGATTTGTTGTCACCGTTAGATTTTTAATTCCAGATTTTTGTTGAATTCAAATTCCACCAACTGCCGTGGCTGGGTCTCACGAACATTACCTGGGGTTCTCGATTCTGAGGGTGGCATCGTGGCTCAGTGGTTAGCACTCCTGCCTCACAGTGTCCGAGACCTGGGTTCGATTCCGCTCTCAAGCGACTGTTTGTGTGGAGTTTGCATGTTCTCTCCATGTCTGCAAAGGTTTCTGCCAGGTTCTCTGGTTTCCTCCCACAGTCCAAAGATGTGCAAGTGAGGTGATTGGCCACGCTAAATTACCCAAAATAGTCAGGGATGGATAGTCTAGATGTGTTAACCATGGGAAATGCAGGGTTACAGGGTGAAGGGTCTGGGTGGGATGCTCTTCAGAGGGTTGGTGTGGACTCGGGCCGAATGGCCTGTTTCCTCACTGTGGGGATTCTAAGGACTAACAGTCCAATGATAATACCACAAGGCTGTTACCTCCCCTTGAAGATGCCAGAATACACCAGATAATTATTGCATAACTGACTGTGTTGACGTTTTTATATGCGCTCAATGGGAATGTTAAAAGGTTGTATTTGATTAGTTCTGCATTAACCTTTAACAAATACAGAAAATTCTGGAGAAACTCATCTCATAGATCATAGAATCATAGAATCCTTACAGTGTGGAAACAGGCCCTTTGGCCCAACAAGTCCACACCGACCCTCAGAGCATCCCACACAGACCCATCCCCCTATAACCCACCTAATCTACACATCCCTGAACACTTCGGGCAATTTAACATGGCCAATCCAGCTAGCCTGCATATCTTTGGACTGTGGCAGGAAACCAGACCACCCGGAGCAAACTTCACACAGACAGTGGTCCGAGGGTGGAATCGAACCCAGGTACCTGGTGCTGTGAGGCAGCAATGCTAACCACTGTGCCACCATGCCGCCCCATCTCTGGCTTCTGTGGAGAGAGAAACAGAGTTAATATTTAGAGTTCGATATGACTCGTAGCTAACTTTTAATTATTTACCGAGAAATTTATGACTTCTGGTCAGTTCATCCCATTTTAGGAGTTTTTCATTGCCCAAGATTATCGTATCAGTTTCCTTAAGAAAATGCTGTTGGTGCGTTTGCATCAATTGGTACATTTCAAAGTATGCCCTTACAATTAATATGGCTCAGTGGAGTAACCTTTAAATTGTGGGGAGGAAAAATGTCAGTCGTTCATGTGATACACTTTTGTTGGCACAATATTTAGTGTACAGTTTCTGCTGCTTTCAGGTTAAGCAGTTTGCTAAACTGTTAGCTTCAAGATCCCAGTGATAAATAGAAGTTAGAAACTAATTAAAATTGGGGCCTTTTGAGGGTTTTTAGAATGAGGAAATAACAACCAGTTAAGATATGGAGGCTAGGAGGGTGTATGAGGGGAATAATTGAAAGGAACATACACTTATAAAGTTAATCGGTAAATTTGAATTGTTAATTCAAGATAGGATCCGTGCGATGAGAGAATAACAATTCAGACTAAGATCATAAACTGGGATAGATATTGAATAAGTACTTCAAGTTGGTGTTTATTCAGGAGGTTGTTAGAAAAGAGATGGTTTTTGAAGTTGGTATGTTAGCCTGAAGGGAAACAAAGCACCACACCCTGATGGGATACATAATCTTGAAGGATGGACAGGTAGTTCAGTTTCTCAGCATTTCCAGCTTTGGAGAAATCAAAGTTTAAATCTAATGTTGGTTTACAAATTGTGACTTCCCTCCCATTCCCCATATTTTCAGCACTTGTATTAAGCTATAAAGACCAGGTGGAAATGAGTTTGAGTTTCCTTTCTCAACAAAGGTAATGCTTGAAGATGTTTTGCTGAAGTCTCCGTTTCACTGGTGCATTCATGATTGATGTTTTCCCCTTACAATCGATCATTATGGTGCAGTTTTAGAGCAGCATGCGGTTTGTTTCTAATAAATTTATGTACTTCATGTGTTGAATACTGCACTTAGAAAATAGATCCAATAATCCATCTACCTACCTTCTGTCAGCATCAGTTGACGTAGACCTCATTGTGTCTTTTTTCTTTGTCCATTGCTCTGAAAATGAGATCAGGCTTGGATATGCAGGAATGTATAGGTATATTCTGATCATTTCTGTGATCAAACTGGTATTTATTAGTGGCATTTAAATGTTCAAGGGTGTCAATAAAAGCAGAAGGTTATTTTTAATTAGTTGACCTTGAGGCTCAAAAGTTGTTCCACAAATCTTGAGTCCTGTTGTGTAGGGAAGACTTTAGAATGGGTTATGAATTGCGCCACATTTCACAGTATCACTCCAAAACAAACAATGCCTGGGTATGATCTCAATGATATATAAATGATCTCAATGGATATAAATTGTCCCATTGGGAACACCCAGCATGGGTTCATGAAGGGTAGGTCATGTTTAACTAATTTGGTGGAATTCTTTGAGGACATTACTTGCATGGTGGACAATGGGGAACCTGTGGATGTGGTGTATCTGGATTTCCAGAAGGCATTTGACAAGGTGCCGCACCAAAGGCTGCTACATAAGATCAAGTTGCACGGTATTACAGGTAATGTATTGGCATGGATAGAGAATTGGTAGATCAGTAGAAAGCAAAGGGTAGGGGTAAATGGGTGTTTTTTTGGTTGGCGGTCAGTGGCTAGTGGTGTGCCTCAGGGATCAGAGTTGGGACTGCAATTGTTTACAATTTACGTACATGATTTGGAGTTGGGGACTAAGTGTAGTGTGTCAAAATTTGCAGATGACACTAAGGTGAGTGGTAGAGCAAAGTGTGCAGAGGACACTGAAATTCTGCAGAGGGATATAGATAGTCTAAGTGAGTAGGCAAAGGTCTGGCAGATGGAGTACAATGTTGATAAGTGTGAGGTCATCCATTTTGGTAGGAATAACAGCAAAATGGACTATGTTTTAAATGGTAAAAAATTGCAGCACGCTGCTGTGCAGAGGGACTTGGGTGTCCTTGTGCATGAATCGCTGAAGGTGAGATTGCAGGTGCAGCAGGTGATTAAAAAGGCAAATAGAATTTTGTCTGCCATTGCTCAAGGGATGGAGTTTAAAAACTGGGAGGCTATGCTGCAGCTGTATAGGGTCCTAGTGAGGCCACACCTGGAGTACTGTGTGCAGTTTTGGTCTCCTTACTTGAGAAGAGATATACTAGCACTGGAGGGGGTGCAGAGGAGATTCACTCGGTTGATTCCAGAGTTCAGAGGGTTGGATTATGAGGAGAGACTGAGTAGACTGGGATTATACTCATTGGAATTCAGAAAAATGAGGGGAGATCTTATAGAAACATATAAGATTATGAAGGGAATAGATAAAGTGGAGGCAGGGAGGTTGTTTCCGCTAGCAGGTGAAACTAGGACTAGAGGGCAGCGCCTCAAAATAAAGGGAAGCAGATGTAGGACTGGGTTCAGGAGGAACTTCTTCACCCAAAGGGTTGTAAATCTGTGGAATTCCCTGCCCAGTGAAGCGGTTGAAGCTACCTCGCTGAATGTGTTTAAGGCAAGGCTAGATAAATTTTTGAACAGTAAAGGAATTAAGGGTTATGGTGTGCAGGCGGGTAAGTGGAGCTGAGTCTCAAAAAGATCAGCCATGATCTTATTAAATGGCGGGGCAGGCTCGAGGGGCCAGATGGCCTACGCCTGCTCTTAGTTCTTATGTTCTTATATCATGAATCTATGAAATTGTAATTCAGCATATTATGTGATTATCTAGATTGCTATCATTGGAAAATTGAATATTGAGTTTCTGTGATCAGATCTTGGTTACAGCTACATACGTATTATTGGAAATTCAGGTGTTTATAACTAACTGTATCATTACCTCTTAGGATAAACCTGTAACTTACCAGGTCACCTGTGTAGTGAGTGAATCGAACAGTTCTTTGAAATAAAGGCATCTGTTTGATCTGGTCTACTAATCTAATGAAGTTATCCTTAAAACCTTAAATTTAAAGTTCCGGGACCCTCCTCAACAGTTAAGGTTGAATAGGTGATTAATGTGAATTTTTACTAGTGTTTTTTCTGATTTCAACAGAGATAGCACTTAGCCCCAAAAACTGTGAAGTCCCCACTTATACGAAACATGGAAGCCAATGGGTTGAGAATCAGGAACTGAAGGATCATAAAAGTCAAATAACAGGTACAATAACAGTTTGAATGCTTCTGGGTCCAAATATTAATACTGTAAATTTATTTGAAGAATTGGGATTGCCAACTAATGTAGCAAAACTGCTAGTTTTTGATATTGCATATCAACCTGCAAAAACCTTTTGAGTTGATACTGTGTCGTTCAGAAATGCTACTGAATATCAACGCTATTAAAGGCACTTTGTTATGATCCCAGCTGATGTTAAATACTGGACAAGTCAGACCACTGAGTGAAACCTGGCTTGAGAGGCAAATGCTTTTCAAGTGGTGGTCTGTGACTAAATGCATTCACAGGAGTCTGCCACTGTATATTTAGTACCAAGTAAAATATTTACTAAATGTGCAAGTCATGAACATTATTACACTGAATAAAAAGGTTGGAAGTATTTCATTACTGATTTACGCTATTCATTTTATCCCAGCAATATCTGAACAGCCATCAAAAACTCCAGCGAAGAATTGCTATGATCTCTATAACAAGATTTTTTATCGCATAGTTGAAACCTGTTTTCCTCCAGCATATTTCTGCACATTCACCAGGTGCCTTTTTTTGCTTCAGTTGGTGTGTCTCCCTGAGATACCTAAAACAAACTAAATTCACTATGACAGTGAGTTCCCGACTTGTGAATGCTTTGCACTTAGGAACGCAATCCCATTCAGGGGCATATTAATATTAAGTCTAAAGATCAGGCGTGAGCATTTCCTCATACTTATGGCTGTTTTATTTTGTCCTGCATTGTTTTCCAACATGTAAATAAATCGACTAGCGAAGAGACTCAAGAATAGAGCCCATTTGCATCCCAAGGACTGCCTGTAATTTAATTTCAAAACAGACATGAGTTTCTTAAACACAGGTTCCAGCAGTCTTTCTCTGGCATGGACCCACTGAGCAGTTGACTGACTTCTAGATTTTTGTCTCTGTGTGTCCCTGGACCCATGTCACCAGGCAATAGCATAGCTTTCATCTGTTTTTAATGCACTCATCTGTTAAGCTGTATTTCTTCACTGCAAGCATTGTAAAGCCCAATTAAAAATGCATCCAAACAAACAAGCCCTCCACACTCCCCAACACCAAATCTCTAAAAGCTCCTCAAAACAAAACAAACTTAACTAAAACCATCTACCTTCTTCTTAACACTTAATGTGGAATAAACATTAAACTTAAAGTTATAAGTCGTCCTTAAGCTCGTAAAAAGTAAAGTTGCTATAAAGCTACTAGTCCGTAGGCCTGCTTTCTCCTTGGACAGAGACAGCTGGTGGTTGTTAACCTGAGTGTCACCACACCTTGGGCAAGGGGAGAGAAATGAGAAGAGGAGTCCTTTATGGTAACCTAAGCTGGTGCGGGAATTGAAGCCATATTGTTCCCATTATTCTGCATCACAAACCAGCCATACAGCTAACTGAGCCCATACCACTAACAAGTTGATAGTGTAGTGGTTTTCTCACTATTGATTTTAAAGTAGAATTGTTAAAATTGTTCGTCTAAAATCAAGCATATTTTCAACTTCTTATAATTTTATTGTAAAAAATGGTGGAAATGTGTTCTAGGGACTTCTCCAAAAGCCAGCTGATGAGGAATAGAACTTAGGCCAATCTTCACACACTTTTATAAAGATTTGCACATTACAAGCAGAAAGCTCCAAGCCCGACCACTCGAGTTTCATTCTGCGCCTATTAATAGTGGTTGAAATGAATCACCACCTACTTACATTTAATCACAAGGTATTTATACAACAGGAGAGTGGCAAAAAGTTAAGTCTGTGTCTCTGTTATCACCAAGTAAGCAAGCTTTTGCTCGGAGTAAAACTGTATAGATTTTTTGTGACTTAGGAAGTTGGTTGTTAAGCTGCATTAAGTTGTGTAAATTTCTATTTGTAGAGCAAAAGGCAGAAAATCTTGGGTTCTCTGCGCCTCCCTTCTCTGTCCTTGTTATATTGCAAATTGGCATGATATAAAAGTTTGAATATGCATACGAATAGTTTCGAGAATAGCTTCCCTGCTGTTATCAGACTTTTGAACGGATCTCAAAAATGTTAATTGTGATTGCCCTCTCTGTACTTTCTCTGTGGCTGTAACACTATTCTGCATTCTGTTGTGCTCCCCTGATGCATTTTGTGTGGTATGATCTGTCTGTATAGCATGCAAAACAATACATTTCATTATCTCGGTATTTGTGACAACAATAAATCAATCAGTGTTACACCTGCAGCATTTACCAGCAACCTAAGCAGCTGAATTCTGCATATGCTTCAACCAAATGGCAATTTCTGAAAGTCAAGGGAGAGTAGTCATGAGGATTTGGTCAGGAGGTAGTCAATGGAGTCCTGGAAAAGTAGAAAACTCATGGTATTTGTTGGACTGAGTCGCCATGGGAATGATTAGCATGGAAGTGGGAAATTCGGGATAGAACGGCAGGGTGTTATAGCTCACAAAAGGGGATGGGACGTTCCGAGGGGAGGAGTTTTTATAAGTCAGTATCACACTGGCGTCTACACGTGGAATGTAGAGAGCTGAGGAGGGCATGATAATCTGCAAAGCCATGGAATTTAGGGGTCAATGAGAGACATGTTATATAATGGGGCAGAGTATAAATGGGGGAATGCTGAAAAGTCATTGGAGATGCATGGACAGAAAGACAAAAGAAAACATGGAGGATTCAACATCATCCTACACCTTAAGCAGAGCCTGCAAATCACTCAAAAATACATACGTTGAAACTTCGCCATCATTAATCACAAGTCAGCTGCACAAGAGTGAGCAAATGGGCTGCAACTGCATGCACAGTGGGTAGAGTAAGTTACTTTTCAGGGATGGTATAAAATTGTTTGAATGTGAGCCCCTAATTATGCATGCACTGATTTAGTAATGCTGCTCACCCAGCATCAAATTGTACTTCATCAGCCAGTCATTCATTCTCCAGGAATGCACACTGCCAATTGTGGCCTAAAACAATCATGACCATTACATTGTTTGCACAAATTGCTTTCTTGTCGTGCCAGGTTAAGTAAATGTGATCATATGCTAACCTAAAAGCACAATCTGAGTTTAGCATTTCGATAACACATTCTATATCTCAATAAAAGACAATGCTTCGGAGCTGCAACATTGACACGCTGAATTCTGTGGAAACAAGGAGATGGTATGTGTGAGTAAGGCTGCCTCTTTTGGGACCGGTGTCTATTGTAGTGGCTTACTTCCAGAATTTCAAACCCAGTATAGAATGAACACATTGTGCAATGTACATTTGAATCAATACATTTGAATTACCTCAAAACTCTTATTGAGGCATTTATTGCCTTGCTTCATTGTGATTGAAGTTAGGACTCAGGATTACTGTTACTGAATGGTGTCCTTTTTCTGACTTTCTTCAAAGATTATCTGCTCAAAACTGACACAGACATTGTTGTGGCTGGAGACCTTCTGGAGTTGCATGAAATACTAAGACAGTGGTGAAGGAAACAGCAATTACAATAGCATCAGCTAACTCAGTACAAGATATCCTGGGAGCTGCTATGATGTGTACATACTCGGGTTCTTGCCTCCTACCAAGGTCCTCAGGCCATCATGGTGGCTGCTGGGAGATAAGGGCTGCCCCTCCCAATAAGGCTCTGGAAACGGTTACAAAACCCTCGGTGATGGAATAAAGATACATCAGTGCTCATGTTTCTCCTCAGGGCCAGAGAAGAACCATAGGCTTCCTTAGGTTCATGTTTTGATACCTGGAATGCTCCGATAGCTCAGAAAAGGAGTGCTGCATCATTCTGGCACGCTGTGCCCTTCTTAACCGGATCCAACAAAGTTATGATGTTTTGAATGCAGAAGAAATGGGGGATTGACAGAAATCATCTGAGAATGAGGATCAGGACATTGACTAGGGGGGAGCATCCAACAGTGTGCAATAGAGCAATGAATCATCAAGCCTGAAAAGCTAGAGAGAACCTAATTGAAACCTGCTTCTAGGTTGAATGAGCTGGATTTGAACTTCATTTAAAGGTTTAACATTTTGTTGGCTATATGGCAAACAGCTGCTGTCTAGTGCAAGGCACGAATGGATCTTGTAATTTTTGCAGTCCTTATCTTCCTCTGTTGCTGAATAAATGTTTTATTAACCATCTGATCATAAGTTTGACATCTTCTGGTGATCCCGCTTTCAAGTATCTATGCATTCCTCGCAGATTAAATGTCCTACAGTCTGATAGGGAACACATAGCTGCCAGTGAGACATGACTCTAACATCACATGAAACGAAGGTCGAGTCACTCTTGAGGCTTCAGTCACCATATATTTTCTGAGTGTTTTGCAGTGAAGTGTCTTATGATAGACAGGATGAGAAGAATTCTAAGGTACCTCTTTTTGATCTTTCTTTTATTGATTATCCTTCAATGTTTCAGATTACATGAAGACTGCTAAATTGCTCTGAAATGCTTGAACGTCATTTAGGACAGCATTGTATGTGTGAAATGCAGTGCTTTTCTAAGCAGACCAATGCACCATAACAGAAAACGTACATGTGAATTGCTCAATATACATCTCCCAGCCTTGAATGATAGTGCACTCCCTTGAATTAATTTGGCAAGCCTTTGCTGCACACGCTCAACAGCAAGAACATCCTCCCTTAGATAGTCCTGGCAGCTGATGTTTTAACTTCAGGTGTTCTCTTTGCTTTTCATATGTCCTTTTCCACTTCCCTTTTGGACTTTCTTTATACAGCTTGGTTATCACTTAACGTACACATCTTTTTTCTGCTGCACTTTCTACTTCTTTCATCATCCAACACCTCTGAGTTTGGTTGTCCTTTTTTCTCCTTCATGGGCATCTTGAATTGCATTCTCTTTAAAAGCACCCCACTGTTGCATTATGCCTGTCAGTTGTTCATTCCAATTTACCTCATCATAAATTGTTCTGAAAAAGAGTCACTGGACTTAATGTTAACTCTGTTTCTATCTCCACAAATTCTGTCAGATTGGCTGAGTTTGTTTAACAATTTGTTTT